GAAGACAGCACCTCGCGATTCTTGGACGCAGGTACAGATGCAAATCCACTCTGTGATGTCTCAGCTATGCAATCTTCGTGTTTTGAACCCCCCGTCGAGCCTCAAAGAATTGGCTGTTATTCATGGCTAACACAGTGTCAAGGAGCTAGACTCTAATCACATTTATTGCAGACTGGGCTCTCTATGTGTTTAAAGCTGAAGAGAGATATGCCACATTTCGCTTGACTGCTCACTGCTTGCTCGGCACGGCGTTTCACGCCTAACTGCCCTAGCTTGCATTGTAGGGTCGCTGCTTGTCCCGGCCATGCTCGGGTACTCCCGAACCCTCTCTCGCGCAGGAGCCACATGGAGGTTACAGGGATGGACGTCGTTCAACCATGCATGCAAGGCTATGCATGAAACAAAAACAACCATCATGTTACAGCGAGCATGGACATGCATCGAAGAATCCTATAAGTCGTCGTACATAAGCTGGGTGCCATACACCACTTACAGGGGGTGGGGGCAAGTGTTCGGAAAGTGTTCCAAACATGCGTTTGAACTGCCGAACATGCGAAGGACATTGGACCTGCCCAAAAAATTCAGGATCATCTAAGACGTTATATGTAAGAACGAAGACGCGAGACGCACACAGCCGCAAGACAATACATGACCAAGCTACACAACCTACAAACGAATACTTTCACAGCTGTTCAAGTGCGTGCATGTGGAGAAGCTGCTTGTCCTACGCTGGACTTCAGCCCCTCAGGTAGGAGAGGTGCGGAGTCCGCAATGCTATGCTGGTCGCAGCTCCCCCGGGCCAAGTACAGCATCGGGATCAGCACATGCGCTTGAGTATCTGGGCTTTTCACCCACCGCCTTGGACTCGCCGGCTATCGTTGTGATGAATCCACGAGTCGAGCTGCCGTGTGCCCATGAGGAGTCTGCAGGCTCCGTTTTTGCACTGCAAAACTTCTCTTCCCTGCCGAAGGAAACACCGCCAGCAACTCTGACATGTCCAGGTGCAGAAGTGCCCTAGTTGTGGTGCCGTGCAATTGGACGAGCATGTTAGAGGTGCTGGGCTGAGACGAAATCGCGACAATTGCGACCATGATGATGGAAGCTGTTATCACTATCCTGGGACATCACTCTTTACGCACTTTGAAAGGATGTGTTCTGCTCGCTAGCCTGGTGAGGGCCTGGGTACGGCTGGACCTTGGTGGAGGCAGATCTAAAATGCAAAAGTACCCCCATCCTTCCGTGCATAAACACGTGCATCAGATGGGAAAACAGGAGCACCCAGAGCAGCCTCCACTGGCACCTTCGTATCTCAATGAGGGCTTGCGTCACAGGATGTCACGGGCTTAGCTCCACCACACTGACATACCGAATGAAGTAATTTGCGCTGGCCATGCACATCAACACGTCGCAGACAAGTGTGCGCACTTTTACTTTGCCACGATATGTCACCATCATTGAAGCGTAGCTGTGATTCAAGATCGGGTTTACAGCAAAGGTTTCAAAGAAAACAGCACAACAGGCTTTGCTCGGGCTAGTGGCCTACCAGTACCAGGTTCATGGCCTTCAAGATCATGGAAAAGCACAGGGTACAACAAGCGACCTCAAAACAGTTGTTTGTTTGCAAAGCCTTGCTTCAAGGGTTGGCGTTTGAAGTCTTGGACAAATGAAGCCTTCAAGCCACTCACAATGAAATACTGCACGAATTATGCAGGTCGAAGACTGGTTCAAGGAAAGGACTGTACAAATTGACGATCCCTATCATTCCTTGTGGCAGCTGCGCCAGCTTACTCTGAAGCATACAGCCGCTTCACCGACTTGCTGGGGCAAAGACTTGACTTGAGCACCTTCTCCTAAACTGCCTAAGTCTCTTGCACCTTGAAACAAAGCCCTTTCAAGGCAAACGCTGACTTCTCAGAGGACATTAGTCCAAGCCAACTTCCTCCCGATACCGCTGAAGGTTGATCTCTCGCTTGAGGGCTCTCGCTCGTGTCCGGCTCAACATCACGGCCAACCAAGTGGCGGCGCTCCAGGGGCAGGGCATTGCGCTCGTGCTCAATCTCCAGAAGGCGTTGGTCCAGTTGAGACAGGCGGTCCTTAACGACGGTGTCCTCCAAGGGTGTAATCGGCCGTTTGGAAGGCTTTCGATACTTCGGTGAGGCCACCATGTCCCCGCCCATCTTAGCATCTCTTTCGCGCTTGGCTTGAACCTAACGCCACATGCGCTTGATGAACATGGGGTAGTCTGTCAGGGACAAGTAGTCATTGAGAGCATCAGACTGCATCGCCGCCTCGATGAACTCTCGCTCAAAGGTTTTGGCTTGCACAGCACCCCAAAGCATTAAAGCATTCTGCATGGGCACCTCTGACTCTGCCTCGAACCTCTTGTAGATCTCATACCATTCAGCCTTCTGCTCTCCAGCTCTGGCCTCACCACTGGCAAGGTCTTCAAAGAAGCGGCGATGCTCCGAGAAGAAGCGCTCGGCGAAGGAGTTGCACTCGGAGGAGACGAGTTGGACGACATCACGCTGTCGGGTAGCCATGTCTTGCGAGGCGGCAGGTCTATGGGCCTATGCTGTGCCGCGCGCTCGGTCGATGTCCCAGTAACCTTGTCCTTGGGCACAGCTCCGAAGATTGCGATGATCCAGTCCTCGCTGTAGCACTTCGCTTTGAGCTGGCTGTCTGTGTTGGTCCTCAGGTCCTCGAGGGGCTTGACCGTCCATGCCTTCACCTCGCCTCGGAAAAACAATCGAAGCGGCGCTGAGTCTGTACGAAGGAAAGGCATTGGAAGTGGAAACATCTCTGAGTGAAGAGACGTGCACACGCCCTTGACCGTCATGATCTTGGCGAACAGCTTCCTGAGGATAGCCAGGTGATGATGGTCCTGGCTCCAGTGGTAGTGTTTGGTCTTCCTCTCAGAGATGATGTTCACGCTGACCCAGCAAGTTCTTCAGCATGAGAGAGTCCACCGCGGTCAGTGTCATGTCCTCTGGCAGCTGTAGCTTCATGATGTCATGTATGAGTGTATCCGGAGGTATGTGTACATACGTGTACGTGTGCGGGTATGTGTTGGTATGCGTGGGTAGCTACGGGTATGTGTATGTCTGACTATGCAGGGTCTATAGGTGTACATGTAGGTATGCACATATGCATGTATGCACGTGTCCATGCATGTATGCACATATCCATGCATGAAATAAGCCCATGCATGTGTGTACGCATGTGCTTGTTTGTGCACGTGCGTGTGCCTGTCTGCCTGTGCCTGTCTGCCTGTCTACCTGTCGGCATTTCTCCCTGTCTGCCTGCCCCGCTCTGCCTGTGTGCGTGTCTGCCTGTCTGTCTGCCCGTCACTTGTTCTATCTGTTAATCTCCGTTGGACACGCATCTCTCAGTTTCTCTCGCTCTCATCTGTGTAAATTTGGGCGAAAAATGTGCCTGCATGCCTTGTAATGAACTCACCACGGCTCGGCTCACCAGCTGTGAGTTCCGTGCTGTCCACCCCGTACTTCAGGCAGACCTGGGAGAAGAGCTCCGCCTGACAGGGGAAGCTTTACAGCCTAGTTTGCGGACATAAACAAGGCCATCTCTTCCCAAGTTGGGCGCTTCACGTGACGGATGCAGGTGTGGAGTGCTCAATGTTTCCTCCGCACACGGCTGGTAGGGAGCAATGCTCGTCGCGAAACTATTTGGAGGCCAAGCTTGAGAGCTCTATGTCCGCTGCCTTGTCCTCGGAAGGTCGCGGGCACTAATCGTGCCCAGCAGAATCAGACTGCTAGGCTGTGCACTTTTGCGCAGCCCCAGCAGTCTTCGCTAAGCAATCTCGACAAATGCACTTGCGGGGCTACCGGCTTTCTCCATGCAATTGGCTTCGCATGCTGCTTGCACCGATTATGGTCAACTGCTGCGTATGAATGATTGGCTGATCAAGAAAGAACTATATTCAAAGTCCGCTGCCGGCCCGCATCAGCATCTGCTGCAGTTTTTGTTTAGAGAGCTTTCCACAAGCAACGATACCACAACATGTCCGAACAGCTGCGAGAAGACTCGACATGCCAACCTACTATTGTAGCTAGCGATGTTCAGACATTTGCTGGGGCATCATCAGGAAACGGTGCATGCTAGCAACGCGAACCTTGCCCACCAACATGCTTGCTCGGCACTGTGCATCGCACTGATCAAGTTTGTCCAAAGCAGCAAGGTTGCCCTGATGTCGTGGAAACTTATGGGGCAGTACAGCCCGTCTGCACGGAATTGAATTATTTGGTTGCAAGTTGGCTGCCCATATTTCAAGCAGGGGCATGTAGATGAGCTTCCACCAGCGGGATGCAAGACACAGTTGTGCTTGCTGGCAGACGACAACTTGCAAAGATCTACTTGCAAATGACCTTTGCGGAACGTGCGTTGGGTTTCAAAAACAGATCCCATCGCAGAGATGATTGAAACAATCACGTGTTGGAACCTGAGCACTCAGGGTGCTCGTGCACTTGCGGCGGGTGAGGAGCTCAGTACGACTCCTCCGAGTAGCGTCCTGCAGCCATGAAATCCTTGAACCAGAGCTCCGCCTCGGCATCTGTCTTGGGCGTGGGCCACATGTCCTCCTGGGGCTTTGAGGAGTTCTGACCGTGCTTCACCAAAGCCGCCTTGAGCGCTTTCTGCACCGACGGCGTTGCGACCGCGGGCCCACACATGAAGAAGTAGCCACCCTTCTCCAAAAGGTTGTCACTGATAAGCTCTGGCCGCTCTGCCATCTTGTCCGAAACGAAGATCTGCTTCGGTGGGTAGTGGGGCTTGTCGAACTGGAAAGCGCC